TACCTTGGAATCGTACGCGTGGAGCAGGGGCTTGCAATTCCTGCGCCGATTCTGGGCCAGTCATTTGTGCAACAGCTGCACGAGGTAGACTGGCGGGTGAACTTCGTCGACCATGATGCAAGTCAAGCGCGTAACCTAGCCGAGGCTGCCGAGAACCTTGCTGAGGAGACTTCGTCTGCGATTGCTGGGTTCGCTCAGCGCCTTGCACGTCTGGAACAATTGAATGCCGCTCTTCGTCGAGACAACGCGGTGTTGCGTGGGCTGCGCCAGCCTGATCAGACGAGGGAACCACGCTAAGTGGGACCGCGGTATGCACCCGCGGTGAGTCAACCGACGACGGAAGAGTAGCCGGTCAGTAACGATTGAGACGTCGAACAGAGAAGGATGGGTGGAAACACATCGAGGAAGGAACATCCAGTGGGGCATCAACCTTGACTTAGGTGATCTTAAACGGTCCAATTATCGCGGTGCCAGCTTTGTGGCCCCAAGATTCGTAACCGACGCATTTTGTATTCTATTTGTATAGATCAGAAAAGAATCATCAACCTTGAACTTTTGTAGATTCTTGCGTCCACGTTGATCAGCGGACGTCTTTTGTTTATCCACGGCAGAGGCGATGGCGTCGCGCACAAACCGCACGACGGACTGACGTTGTTGCACGAACGATTCAATCGCTGTGGAAGCTAATAAGAGGGCGTTATGCATCTGTATAACGTCGGGAGCAGCAACGTTGGATGTCGCACCCGGCGACGGAACTAAATCAGTTGCACGGCGTTCCATAATTGGCGTCTGAGTCACGTCATCAATGGCAGACGAAGGAATCTCGCGCTGAACAGCAGCACGAGTCAAAGCAACGTTGCGGAAGCTGTTGAGATTTACGTGGGAAGATGCCTCCAACACCAAGTAATCCGGTGTCCCTCCCCAAACAAGAGTAGAACAACCGGTAACTACCAAAAGAACAGGAACACGGGGATGGCGCGCGTTGTTCACGAAGAAGGGTTTCGACTCTGTCGAAGCGTGAAATGCGTTACTGAGTGCAAACTCGGCCATGGGAAGGTAAAAATTTCATGACGCAAACGAAGTAGCGTAGCTACGCAACACATCCTCCAAGACGCAATTGACCCGCTCAGTCTGTCCATCCGTCTCAGGGTGGGCAGCTGTAGCCATCATCAGGCGGGTGCCGAATATCTCGAACAGCCGAGACCGAAATGCAGGTGAAGCAAGAATTTCGATCCAAAACAATCGTGGCAGGCATGCCATAATGTCGGAAGACCATGTCGACAAAGTGAGCTGCTGTCTCCTCCGCAGTGATGGAAGCCGCAACAGGCGAAAGATGCACCATCTTACTAAACCGGTAAGCTATCACCAAAACGCCAGTGAACCCCTGCGCATCGGTGGGTAAAAAAAATACAAAATCCATGCTCACGGAGTTTCAAACCTTCGTGGCGATCGGTAGCGGGCAAAAGGGCGCCTGTGACGACGGAGCTGGCTTCACACGGTGGAAAATCTTACAAGAGCGAGCCCACTTACGAACTCACTTGTACATGTGTGGCCAATAAAAGTCCCGAGACAGCGCAAGATATCTCATTTCGCGACCCAAATGACCGCTTGACACACTGTCATGATACTCATGAAAGAATACGCCCACGAAGATCGTCGTCAAGGGGAACGACGATACGTGGAGAATCGAAACGATCGATCTGGTGTGTAAGCAGCTTACCATCAAAAGCATAGCGCGTGATGTGTGCGCGAGTGGTAGTCGGGAGGGTCTGTAGCGCATCATCCGAGGGGTTAACCACCGGACAATTGGCGAGTAGCAGTCATTTCAGGAATACGCTTCCGCGATATCAGCGCTGAGAGGGTTGACCGCAGACACAGCCGTAACATTAAGACCGAGTGTAACGCAAGCCACACAGTCATCATCATCCGACTCCGGGGCGGCGGAAACAGAAGCTCCGGTGCAAGAATCATCATCAGGACGCCGTGACAAGGCATTGGCAATGATGTTGGTCGATCCATGTTTGTAATACACGACAAAGTTGTACTCCGCGAAGCCTGACAACCATCTCTATGCGCTAGCTGATATAGGGGCTCTTCGTGGCGGTACGCAGTGACGCATGGTCCGCGTAGATGGCGAATGTTTGCTCTCCAAGCTAATAAACGCGGAACTATACAAGCTAATTGCAAGCAACACCTTGACATGAACGGGGTAGTTTCGCTCGGCAGGCTTTAGCTGCCAAGATTGGTAGCTGACCACGGGTTTCTTCCCCGCGGCATCATGTTGCCTCAGCGCGCATCCGATAGAGAAATCACTCGCGTCACAGACAACATCGAATAGCGCGTCATGATTTGGCAGCGCTAACAAAGGAGCTGTCGATAGCCTCTTGTTGATCTCGTCGATTTCATCCTGATGCTCTTGACGCCACACCCACGTACCGTCCTTCTTCAGTAGCTGTGATAATGGATGAATCACTGCCGCAAAGCCCTTTGCGTAGTGATGCAGGTAACCGGCCAAACCCAACCATTGTCGAAAGTGCATCTAGTCCTTCGGAACCGACCAAAAGAAAACGGACGAGATCTTCTCGGGATCAGCGCGAACACCCTTCGCACTCAGGTAACTGCCCAACACTGGGATCTCTAGAGCACAGAAGATGCATTTCTTAAAGTTCCGCGTACTGTTTGTTTTCGCGCATCGCCTCAAAAACTTTTCGAAGGTGATTAAAATACAAGTCCAATTCAGTCGCGCCATCGGATGCGCAAATATGCACGAAAATTTCATCAAAATGGCTCGACGTAAAGTAGCGATATGGGCGAAGCACGTGGAAAACCATGCGTTTGAAAGTAGCAGGGGCGTTCTTAAGCCCATGCGGCATGACAAGCCACTCCCAAAGCATACCACTAGACGTGCTGACGGTGGAAGAAGAACATCTTGAGGCTGCATCAAGATCTGGTGGAAGCCTTCAGTCAAATCTAAAGACGAGAAAATCTTGCCTATCCAAGACCATGTCCTTCCGAGGGATTGGCGTCTGCGCCGGAATAGTCACATTGTTCAGTTTGTTAAAAGCATGAACGATGCGCCATCTTTTGTCGCCTTCTTGACACAGAAGGTGAGAATAGAATGGGGAGACGTGCTCTCACACACGTGACATACGGCGCGACGTTCTTCAAAGAAGGCGTCAATAGCTTTGACTTGGTCACGTGGGAGCGGCCACTACCAAGTGACGCAGTACTCTGAACCTGGCACGAGATCAATCTCGTGCCGCACTCCTCTATCCGCATGAAGAACTGCAGGGAGGGGAAGACATCGGCAAACTCGCGCGCAAGCGCCAGAACAGGATCTTTTGTCGCAGCAACTTCTTCCCAGGATTGTGCCGCAAGGCGATTCTCGCGTGCGGACTTAGGTTTCATCCCTTCTGGTCGCTCGTGGTTGTTGAGGTCGGGATCTTGAACGACTAGACAGAGTTGTTCGATCTCTCCCCTCTTCATACCATGCAGTATTTCATCCCTAGAGAGTTCCGAAAGCTGCGTAATGCCAGACGCGTCGCGAGGTGGACTCGCGACCTGTAACGAATGAATGAGCGTACCAGCATCAGTCATGAAAACGACATTTATGGTCTTGAATGAAGACGGTGGAAGAGATGGTGTTGACAAGGGAGGACGAACACGAGCGCGCCACCCACGGCGACGACGTGACACAGGAACAAGAACCGGTGGCACAACCTGTTGTACGGAAGCCACTGCCTCCGCATAAGTCGTCTGAAGCCGCTGCTCCGACGTGATGTCCTCCATAAGGACCAAGATGGGAGCCACTGCTCGCTCGTGACGCATCAATAGCCGCTGCTTCGACGTGGTTGGGTTGAAAATGCACGCACTAGAAGCCTCTGCTTCGGCGCAACATTCGCAGCTCGCATTTGCACGGGAGCCACAGCTCTCTCGTGACGCATGAAAGGTCTCCGCCTTCGTACGGTTTTGGAAGAACGCACACGCATAAGATCTACTGCTCGACTGTAACGGGGCGAGAGCTCCGTTACGTAACCTACACCTAAGGTCTTACGAGGAAGCGTAAGAAGTACGCAATTTACTTGCGTACTTAAGACCAAATTAGACTCTGTTTTTTATTAAGGTTAGATACAACATCCTAAACCTTCTGTAAACCACTCAAATACGTGCCAAATATTAATTGGGTGAGATAAGGCTAAACCCACATTTGACTAATCAAATACTGACACTAAAGATATACGTTATTCGTATCTTTTCCTTTTCCTACTATATGTAATATTGTCAGCATTTTCTACCTAATTATGCATAATTATGGGACCGTTATTATTGCCATATCGTACTTGATATAGCGTGTAACGATACGACCTGGTTACATCGACTATGAGACACCCGTCGCCACTGCTGCGGGCTCGATTCTTGACTAAGAAACCATTGTTCGGGTGAGGGGGAAGAGGTTGCCGAGTTACACACCACACTCGAAGGGCCATCGCACACTACGGGGGCATGATCAGTTGTGGAGTAGGGGTCCACGACAGCAACATGCTGCCAAGTACTCGTCGGTCTGTTAAGAACGGCGAGAACCGCATTGGCATCAATGTCACGTGGTTGAAACGTGCGGTTCAGCAACCAATGTCAGGTTGATGCCGTGGCTTATACGGCATCCTAAAAATGCAGTCGAATGAACCGTTTAAGTCGATAACTTGGAATTTATCACTGCTCTCGAAAGCATCAAACCGGTAAGGAAGCATCAGCGAGAGATGTCGGTGCGTACGGGGCTTGACTTTCGCATACTTGACGATCATCTTTCCTGAAGACTCGCGGACACGCAACCGCGACGGGAGAACGGATAAGCTGTCGGCGCGGACTAAGTTGTCCGTCGCTACTGAGTCCATCAATGCGCGAAGTGGATTTGACGCACGTCAATCTGAACACTAAGCACTATCAAACGCGGATCATTACTGGACGTGGTGGCATTTAGCTGTGAATATCGTACAGCAAGGCTAGGAGAACACGTCGCCACCGCAGACACGCGTCTTTGATCCCACCCAGTAGGACGCCCCACGCATACTAGCTGCCGTCGTTTTTGGCTGATCAGCGGCGTCGACGGTGACTTCAGACGCAGCGACAGCTAGGGCTGGTGTAGGTGCACGGCATATAGCCGCGTGGTGACCAGGAATACGACAGCGGAAGCACACCAGCCGTTTTGGTGCTACAGGCTTCCGGAATTCGGCGTTCTGACCACGCCGAGAGTATGTGACGTGCTCGATTGCTTCAACCTCCATGGGCTCAGGCTCGTAAGTAGCAGAAGGAGGAGAAGAATATTTCACGCGCGAAGCCATGACGCTAAAATTCTCACGCAACGCGATCGCAAAACGCCTCTTCAAGCGACGTAGGGGGCTTCCGCGTCAAATAAAAACGCTGATATTCAGCGTTCATACACGTAACAAAACGTGGGCCTGTGTCACCGTATCGATTGGATGGGTGACGATGTAGGACGCCAGATGCCGTGCTTGCTGAATATAATCCAGCATCGATAGGTGACCTTGCTTCAGTGCCAAGAAAGCTGAGCGGTGGTGGTGTTCATCCTGAGGAGGCTCAAACGCTAGGCGCAGGTCGTTCTTGAGGACCTTCATACCCTGGACCATCCCGGATCGTCCACAAGCTTGCCCAGCTCCCACTCCTTTGCCTTGCCTATCAACTTGTACAAGAGGAAGTGGGTGTGTACGAAATCTGACTGATCCTGACGGGCTTGAACGGCGATGTCCACTTTACAAAGCCATCGATTAAGCGCGAGGAGATTTGGGACCTCACCGCTATAGCACGAGACGTCGAGTTTGACGACGTCAGACCCTGTGGCAACCGCAAGAGTTGAGGCTCGCCGACGCAAATCGGCGAGTTTGCGGTTGACAAAGTCCTGGATGGCTACACGCTGGAGCCGCTCAGGCGTGTCCTAAAGCATGGCGACAACGGTAGTTATACCGGCCACGTCCGCTAGGCGACGCAAAGCTTCCCACTAGAAAGAGGTAAGATGCTGAAAGTCATCATGATCTAGAATCCCTTCCTCAGCGCCCTGGATAGGCAGAGTGCTCATCTTCGTTAGAAGGACTACGAAGTGTTACCAGGTGTAACGGGTTAAAGACCCGTTACGTGACTTACACTAAAGGGTTTACGAGAGAACGTTAAGGAACACGCGTTAATAAAATGCGTGTTTCGTTAATATCAAATTTACCTTGTTTTTATATTTATAATTTTTATCCTAAGTACGAGTGGTCTTCAATCGTCTGAGAGCCACTCACCACAAAGGTCGCATCCTATTGGCTGATACTGAGCCTGATTCCCACTTATCAGCAAATAGGAATACGACATGCTGTACCCGCTATATCGGGTACAGCGATTACCTAATTATGTAATACATGTTCATTGCTAAGTCTACTTATGAAAGGGAATACTAGGTCGTACCTAGAAGGATGTGTACGGTACACCCCGCTACACGGTCTCCACCTCCACAGGCATCGCTGACCGCCGTCAAATACGGAAAATGATCCGTCCAGGTTTGGTGAGGTGTTTTGGATACTGTGAACGACTTCATGCTCTGAGCCAATGTAATTGTCGTGGTGAAAGTCTGCACATGCTTGGCATCGCGTGCTCCAAGGTTTCACTTTCAAGCCACCACGCCTCAGCTTGCCGACGATAGTACGTCTATGCCTTAACGGTTAGGTGCTGACCTAGAACATCAACCTTGATATCTTCTGGTCTCAAGAAAACACATGAACGCTCTGCAAACCCGACCTGGCGGAACATTTCCTTGCCCTAGTCCATGAACCCGCTACCGAGACTGTAATAGAGTTCTTACCCACCAAAAGGTTGCAACGCAAGCTTCCGTTGTTGCGCATCCGGAATGTCGATCCTCGGATGTTCAGGGTGTACATACCCTCGGATGGGTACACCCATAACGGGATGATATCACGCGGGCATGTCCGCCCCGTATATCCCGGGGACAAGTCTCTGATCCATATTGACGCCAGGGTCTGCATATCTTGCAGGGGCCGTTCAACACCTGCCTAGTTTTGTTGTCGCCGTATACCAAAGTAGGTCGCTGACGACACGTTTGGTGGTACCGTATGAAGGGTTTGTTTCAAGGCCTTTAGTCAATTCCAGCCCCGACCTCTCCTTTCCAGCTGTCAGCACGTAACTTGGGTAAGTCCGTATTCACCATGCTGCCTTGTTTTCTGAGAGACTTCCGTCCGATTCATCGTTTCGGACAGGTCCCCGAGCATGGCCAGCATTGTCTCGATCGCCTCCGCAGGCGCTGCCGCCTTTTCTTCTAGGTAGTAATCGTTGGCCTCAACCTTGCCATCGACCACTACTTTAGGTGCCGCTGGTTTAGCCGGACCATTAACATGTGTAGTTGGGATCATAACGTGTTAGACGTAGTTGCACTTGTGCAGTAGAAGTAGGAAGTAAAAATACAATATATTCAGTGTTAATTCCTCTTCGTTGTTAACCCTACATATGCAGTTTGATGACAGCACTGCAACGTGACCTAGTCAAGGTACACCTGGCACACATCTAGCGTGCCCATCACCATGTGTCATCCCTGGTCCCATATGACGTCCGTATGTCTTCGTCTCGCCTAACATCTCTGATTGAACTTCGACAAATAACGATCTTCTTCCCCAGTCCCATATGTCAAGATATCACGTCTTGGTCCACCTGTCAACTTGCTAGCCAATCAGGAGAGGATGTCCCCTGTCATGGGTCTTGCAGTCTTCACTTCGAGCTTCCATGACCTGTCAGAACCAATAATTTCTAACAAAAACGGCCTTAAGTCTATTGGCGCTTCGTTACACCACTTGCTCTTTTGCTTGCTTATCGTGTAATGATTGAGGACCACATCAGTTCGAACGTGCAAGTCTGGAGCCATGGTGCCGCACGCATCACTATGCTGCTTTGCACCATTGCGTATGTTAAGGAAATGCAACCGTGTCGAGCATAGTGCTGAACATTGGCGTTTTGGCAATGAGCGTTCGGAGTCGTCAACGCAGTGGTCATCGGACCAACAGTAACAACACGAGAAAAGTTGGTTGAACAACCTTGTACCTTTTGCGAAAATGCCAATTTAAGAACGATAAACGGCGATGGATAGTAGCGTACTGTTAAGGTTTTGCCAGTGTGCCTCGTACATCGACAAAGCATGATATGGGTTGAGTCAAGACCATTAACATGCCTACATCTAGGTAGAAAAACTACCGTAAAGCGCGTTGCCAGTCCCCGTGGTGATAAAGATGATGCCAAAATGCCAGCACAACCAGCGACATGACATTGGTGCTCACCAGCGTATGAAAGCAGCGCACCACCGTGTAACAGATCATGGCTCCGATCTGCACCTTGGAATTGCCTTTTCCAGCACACCAGTACCGAAGACAACATGTCGCTCTCTTCTATTGGAGATCTTGGACGCTGTGATCAAGCCGCAGAATTGCACAAGACTGCCCTTGATAAGTGGCAAGTATGTATCCTCAGACGGCGCCTTTCTTAAAGATTTGGAAAGCCTGGAGGAGCTCGTGGTCAACGCAATCTTTCATACAGTACGGCGTACAGCAGGTCACATGGATCTTTCGCTCCGTGTGTACTGACATGGAACTGTAGTTTTGATGATGTTAATGCAGAATAGATTGGTCTGTGTTGCTTACCCGACGTTACATCAAGTTTTCCGAGACATTTCTGATACCAACGACTCATTGGTAGTATCATATTGATCGTTTGCAACTACTTTTAAGCTTTAAAAGCTTTTGCTCTGCCTTACTACCACAGATGACTTCTTCGTATCTGAAGACGCCGATGGCGAATCAACGCAAACCAGCAACGTAAGTTTCGGCACATTGGTGCAACAGAGAGCTAGATCAAGCTACGTTTACATACACTGCTAGACAGACGACAAGCCATAGAATACTTTGAAAATAACATGAGCAATGCTAGTAGTTGAACTTAAAGTCATGTAAAACTATACAATTCTTTTGATGTTTGATAATGCGCGACTTTATAAATGCTGCTTATTTTTTTCGGACAAAACTATCCAGGCTATACTTTCGCTGCAAGGGCACATCTCCTAAGAGTAACCGCAAATCAGATTTGTCCGTCAGGCTATGAGAACCAGCCATTAGATTTACAAGTATTAACAACTGAGGCACTATTCATTACTCCCATGGTCGACTACAATGTTAAGGTTTACATCGCGTGCAGCTCGATACTGTATCTAAAGTTTCTATTTGCGACTATGATGCAAGGCGGCATAAAGTTTAGCTCGGGTGGTCGTCCGCCTGAGGACGCCTGTCTGAGTATGGCCAAGACCATTGGCAAGGGCTGCAAGCAGACTTACGGTCTGGACAAGACTGATGACGAGAAGGTGTTAAAGGCCCGTGAGTTAGAGCATCGCTGGACGCGCATTGTGAGCAACGACCTTGAGTCGATTCCTTTCGCGCTCTTCATTTTTGGATGCGGCATCTTGGCCCGAAGCAACACCACGGTACACACTGCTTCCATGCTCATTTACACGATTGTCCGTTGCCTGCACACCTACGTGTATGCGTATGCGATGCAGCCGCAACGTGCGATCTGCTGGAGTCTAGGTGTCGGGGTCACACTGGTGGGCATTGCGAATGCTGTTATTGCCATTTTATAAGCACTGGTCGCTTGGGTTTTAATGTCGGCAAGGAAGCAGTTGGTGGGGAGCACGTTTGTCTTAAACGCAATCAAAGTTTTGACGACGACAAGTTGACTGCGTGTGACGATTGCGAGGCGATCGTAGGTCGTCTGGCGCTTACGCATGTGATCAACTTCTCGTAAACATAATAAATGATGTGCTTTTTAGAAGCTACTTGCAATCGAATCCCATGTCAAGATCTAGTAGTGCTTTAATGACAGGAAAGACAGTTAAAAGTCCCCCGCCACTGCAACCCTCTTATTCGACAGCTCACGTTTCATAAAAACCTTACAAGCTCAATCCAATGGCTAGACAAGATGAAATCAAGCAATAATAATTAGGTGCAGATCCTTGTCCTATTGTTGCTGATTCGTAAGGCTTTTAAGTCGCCTAGCCAAGTTGCAATCGACGTCTACAATGTCTGGGCTAGTCTAGACTGATGACAAGGCTCTGATGAAGGCTCCGCGCCGGTAGCTTATTGTCGACAGCGCGTCATTACAAATAATTGCTGCCTAAACCGCTCGCAATTTCATTTTTGAGCGTTGCGCCATCTGCGTATGAGTTCTACTCTTAGCCTCACGGTTTTTGGTTATTTAACAACTCTTGTTTTTGTTGCGGTTCGTCAAGACTTTCATAGCCCTTAGCTGTATCATAACGATTCACGTACATTGTATTTTTACTTGGGCAATCATTCGATGCTTTACTCAACGTGCAAGCCTCTTGTAAACATTTCTTCCGCATCATTACTCTATCATCCGTGGAATACGTCACGTGAGCCATTTTCTTACAACCGTTGCAGCACGAGCTGTCAAAGAAGGCACAAATATAACGCTTGAAGGAATCTGACTTAAAGGTCTCGGCGTAGTAAACAGATTTTAGGCATGCAATCTGAATATAGTGAATATAGCTTGGCGATAGACCAAGAGCAATCGATTTAAGAAATGCAGGAGAAATTTGGTTTGAAAGATGCGAATTTGGTATTCGTACCGATTAGCTCGAAAACAGAAGAAAGTGATTCTTTCCAACCACGAACAAGCGTTCATAATGGTATTATAGTGAAGTCTATTCACTCATTTGTCAAAGGTATGTTAAATGTAGCACGTTGTTCGCGGCCAGATATAGCGTATGCGATGCGCAAGGTTACAAGACAAACGCACTTACCCACGATTGGTAATTAACGACTTGCATAAAAAATCCCGCGATACTTGAAAGAAACGATTGGTTTACGTCTTTACATGTACTTACCTGAAGGAGCGAGCAAAGGTGCAAGGTTGTGGTGCATGGGTACTGTGACGTGAATTACGCGGCTGATGTCAAGAATCGAAAAAAGAAAAGTGGTGGTATCCTCAGCTTGAATGTTTTTGTGAAAGGTGGCTCTCCAAGAATCAAGATAGCTGCTTAGTCAACGATGGAGGCAAAGTTCTTGTCCGCATCGCATGTTGTGCGTGAGCTAATGGGCTACGCGAGAATTTGCGTGAATTTGGCGTTGATACGAAGAAGAAGATGAATTTGTACGTGACAAACTAGGCGGCGATCAAGCAGATCGAAGGCGAAAACACTTCAGGCAGGAAGAAACAGACCGATGTGCTGTACGATATTTTGAAGAGCCTGCATCGCGATGAAATCATAGCTGTTGAATACTGTTATACTGAGCGCATGGTTGTGGATGTCTTGACGAGAACACTAAAGCGCGCACGGATTTATCAACTACGCAAACTAACTAGAGGATCGCTGCAAATGTTGAAGCTTGTGACAGGGTTAGACGAAGGTGTGTATTTTACATACACACCTGCCACACCAATGTGGTGTGGCTGCACCTGTGATACAGTAGTAGGTTGATGTGACCGTACCTAAGGTACGGCGGGTCGCATCGTGGCTGAGAGCCACGTGGTCACTAAATTTGGTTAAGCTTAGTGACTATACATGTTTGCATACTAATATGCGATAGTGCCAGTAAATAGTGACTAGCACCAAGTATAGAGTAGGTGTTTCTATATTAGTGCTAGAAGACAAACATTAATACATCACTTCAAAACTGAGACGGGGAGCTAAAGGGAACGGGGAACGACCGTTGAATTAGAAGAATGCACGGTCGAAGCGTGCTAGTTAGCCGCCATTCAAATAAGCTCACCGCGGTTAGCCCGATGGACCGCAATTCCTCAAGGTGGGCCTCGGTCCTTCAAGGTCGACCCTGGAATTTCATTGGTAGACCTCGGTCTTTCATGAAGATAGACCTTGGCTCTTCGGTCGATGTACTCTCGGCCCCGGTCCCTATAGGTCGACCTTGGTCCTTCATAAATGGAACTCGGTCCTGAGTCGATAGACTTTGGCCCTTCGGTCGACGGACTCTCAACCCCGGTCCCTGAAGGTCGACCTTGGCCCTTCATCAATGGAACTCGGTCCTTAGTCGATATACTTTGTTCGATCGATGGATTCTCGACTTCGGTCCCTGAGAGCAATTTCGGTTCAGAGGTCCAGATACCCTAGCCAAGCAGAGTAAAGAATCAGGGCTCGGGCTCGGGTAAAAAAAAGAGTAAAGGAGCTAAAAGATAGGAATATATTAAATACTACTCAATTTGCGATCTACGTAGCACGATTCGTCGTGCTGTCAAGGAACTTGACTAAGCCTACCCACCTGTTCTGGGAAGGAATATATATTTTGCCCCCCCCGTCGAACACAGTTATGTGGTAAAACTCAAGTGTGAATAAAGCCCCAGAATATATTTGGCTTGTGGGTTCGTCTGAATAGAACCCTCAATCGACCTGCTATCGGAAGCGGTCTCCCTACCCTACTGGTTCAGGAGCAAGTAAAGGTCTGGCGGTTGATATTCCTGAGATATCAAGGGAAAGGCCAGGGTCCTTGAAGAACTTGGCTATACGTACACCCTCGACGTAGTCGACCGAGTGAACATCTATCCACCTAACGATTGAAGCAATTTACTCGAGGCAACTCATAGGCGACCTCTCTCAAAGCCGACATCGCATTTCAACCAAGTTCTCCAAAGCGTGCAACCCGCCAGCCGACGGATACACAAGGTAAGAGAAAGTCTATAAGCGGCATAGGGGTACTCCCTCCGACAGGTGGCAGTCCGGCACAGTAAGTGAATTGTGGTCTCATTACGCAGTTTTGAAAACCCACTCCACCACAATACCAAAGTACCACTTTTTTACGCATACAACGTTTACCACGCTCACTGCTCCAGTGATGACCATGTCACCCCAGCTGAGGACTGACAAGGTCGGCAATCAGATAGATTTAACGGAAGAGGATAAAGGGCCGTTGGTGGATACACCACAGTACGACATTCCCATTAAGCATGCTACAGCTGCCAAGTGCACCCGCTCCAGTGATGACAATGTCTTCCCGACCTGCCTCGATCCTCGACCAAGGACCTCGGACCTCGGACCCCGCAAAGTGTCGGCGACGCCTAATGCAAGACGTGCTCATTGTGGGTCTAGGAAACATGGATACTTGGGTTGTTGGGAGCGATTGATCTGTGACAACTTGGAGAAGAAGGGTCACCCATCTGATCGTTGCGGTTTGTGTGCCGAGGCTGTGGAGAAACTCACGAGGTTGGGAAGTGCCAGATGGAATAGTCTTACAATTTGATTCGCCAATGGTATAACCCGACCAAGCACGCCGAGATGATGCCGGAGAAATCTGAGAAGATGATAAATTAGGACGCTCGCCAGGTTTAAATCTGGAACGAGACGAGCGTTCTGATTGCTGTATCTTTGCATATGTGTAAAAGCAGTCCAAGGAAGGAAGGGGTACTCGAGATAACGTGATTGACAAATATATCGAAGTTTGGAAGCTACCCTATGGTCCATGTTGCTTTTCTGAATGCACCTCATGACTCTGCACGAGAGAATGCAGTGATGGAGTTGGACCTATTTCCAGGAGAATCCGGGGGATACTGGAAATACCATGCTCCCAATAATTTGTTCAGGCAAGATAAGACCTCTGGAAAGGTCAACAATGATCGCGCAACTTGTTGTTTGATACTGGCGACGAGTTATCCATCCTGGACATCGCCTTTACTCGTAAGGTAGGCTGCTAAACTGAAAAACGACAAGAAAAATTTGTTGGTATCTGGGAATCTGTATATACTACGGTAGGACGCACCCGCATCATGGTCACCCAGAATGAAAACTTGGTGCATATCGTTAAGGTGTGGGTAGGCCCGATGGTGGATCAAGACGTAATTTTGGGCATGGACTTCATGGACCCAGCCGGTATTCGGTTAGATCTGGCGGATGGAACACTATATCTCACCGATGAAATTCGAGTTCACTTATCAGGAGGGGGGACGCTGTACGAACACCGGGTATCAGATGTGAAGTTAAGTCGATATGCACACATACCGGTTGAATAGTACATGTAAGTACCTCTAAAAAAGTCGACCTCGGACCAATGGAAAGTGTGGGTCACGAAAGGAGAACGAAGGGTCACGACCATGAACAAAGCGATAGGACATCGGAAATTCCTGAAGGTGACCAATGTCAGCTCCCACTCCCTAATATTGCACGATGACACCAAGATCGGTATGTGGTTGATGAAGGACCAAGTACCAAGAGCGGAGGGCTTCGTCTCGGTGGGATATCGAAGATACGACGAGTGGCTGAATCTGGCGTATGAATCCACCACCGACCAGGTCGACCATCCGATACATCCAACGGAGGATGATGAAGGGCCGTTGGTGGAGACACCACAGTACGACATTCCCATTAAGCATACTACAGCTGCCAAGTGCACCCGCTCCAGTGATGACAATGTCTTCCCGACCTGCCTCGATCCTCGACCAAGGACCTCGGACCCCGCAAAGTGTCGGCGACGCCTAATGCAAGACGTGCTCATTGTGGGTCTAGGAAACATGGATACTTGGGTTGTTGGGAGCGATTGATCTGTGACAACTTGGAGAAGAAGGGTCACCCATCGGATCGTTGCGGTTTGTGTGCCGAGGCTGTGGAGAAACTCA